AAAGATGGCATTGACATGATTACGTTTCCAGGACCCTCATTTCTTTAGGGATGGACTACATGGCTGGTGTCATTGCTTAAAAAAGTGTATCGAGCTTGATGGAACTTATGTTGGGAAATCAAGTTTGTATTTGTAATTTTCGTATTTTAATTCCATTTTTATGAACTTTTTGAAGTCCTCTTTTACTGTTAGCTACATATTTTTGTTTAGTTTAACCTTTACTTTCACATTCCTGGTCTTCTGTGACCTCTCCCAGTGACAATCATATGTGGACTTGGGACATCTCTGATGACCTATCTGGTTGGTAAACTGCAACTTGTTCCAGACTGGGTTTAAGGGAGCTGTTTCATTATTATAAGTACGTGTGATATTCTTCATTAACTTTTCATGTGGCTTTGCAAGCTGTCTAGGCATCCAAAACATATACCTTTTGAGACGCAGGCTGGTCTCTTGCAATCTCAGCCTCCATCTTAGAATGGCTGTCTTGCTTACCTTGGCTGTACTCAGTGACAGCGTCTTGCTGGGATATTGAGTGAAGGGCTAGTGCCACAGTCCAGATTAGCTCCCTCTCATACTAGCCACTCACATGATACTCTTTACCTTCCTTTTACTGCAGTTACCATGATTTATATCATATATTCACTCATTTGTTAAAGCCTTTCCGCCAACCCGCTGGGAGACCTATTTGCTTCTTCACCATATCCCGTGTACCCAGTGCCTGGAACCTGGCAGGGGGTCCGTAAAGACTAGATCAATAAATGCATGAATTAATTAGCATGGTCACTCTAGGAGATGGCAAGGGTTGGGAGAAGAGAGTTCAGATCTGGGGCTCTGTGGCTTTCTGAATTCCTCAGCTGTAAAGAGAAGTAAGGTCTGCTACAGATGGGCAGTGGAATAATGGAAAATACATTGGCCTAGAAGTCAGGGACCTGAGGGTCAGGCATTCTCCTGCATTTTCTATGTAACCTCAAGAAAGTCTTGTAAGGGTTGAAGGAGATGTTTTTGTGAAATTGCTTTGTAAACCATAAAGAGATATGGTAAGATGCTGTTCATCATCCTAAGATCTGGCCCCTGCCTATTTGTCCAAATGTATTCCTTATTAATTTAATTTAGCTAGGCCAATCTTCTCATTAAAAAATATTTTTCTCTTCTTAATGCCAAACAATGCATCATAATAACAAAGATATCAGAAAATTCAGAAGAAAATAAAAATCATCTCTTAAGGTTACCATCTAGAAATAACACTGTTCACATCTTATTTATAGTCTAAACAATTTTTTTCTAAACGAGTTTCCCAGGTGTCAGCAGTGGGGACAAGACAGGGCAGCTTTCCTCTCCTGTTTCCCACTGCACTGGCTTTGCTGAGGGCTGCTGCCTGGGAAAACACCGGAGAGTGGAGTCTCCCCATTTGTTTGCTTCCAGCATCCTGGCAGCAATGCCAGTGGGTCAGGGGACAGGGGTGCCAACAGGTGGCTTAGAGAGGGAGTTACTTTGCTCCCAGCACTTTTCATTATCTAAAAGTGCTTATTTGGTCTGCATATTTTTATTTGTCTCTGGAAATAACTGGCCACTGGAATATAAGCTCCACAAGGACAATACCTTGCAGGATTTGCCTGTTGCTGCCTTTGGCACCTAACAAAAGTGCCTGCACAGAGTGAATATTCATTGAACAAAATGAATGAGCACAAGCGCTGTGTTACCTCATATAGGATGGGAAACACCTGATGAATGTTTACCTCTCATGAATTGTGCATATGAGAGGCACAGAGGCCAGATTCCTTGGTGATATACATCTGGACTTCCAGGTCTAGCTGTGGTTTGAGCTTTGGCGTTATACAATAGATAATCCCAATCCCTTTTTGTAATCACTACCGCTCCCTTCAGTCATTTCAAGCACGTTCTCAGACCATGCTACTTAACATGTGGCCAAAGCATTCTGTAAAACTGCTTTCCAGGTTCAGTCGTAACACTCCCAAACTGTCCTGTGCAAGGAAGCCCATCCTCTCCCTGTGCCAAAGCCTGTCCCTCCTCCATTGTCTTTCAGCTTTCCCTCCTTATGTAGCCCCTAGGCTTTCTTGTACCTCCTACTGCATTTCTTTCTTAGGGAGGGCAGTGATTCTTGCCACAGTGCTTACATTGCTGTCTTCAAAGGTGAGCTCCTATGGCGTAGACAGCATCTGTGGATTTGGATGGAAAGAATTTCAAGAGCACTTGCTTGGAGCGGGAGCTCTGTGGGGGTCAGTGTCCAATTAACCCTGAGGCTACGCCCTTCTCATGCACAAGGGCCTCCTCCCATCAAGCTGGACATAACCTCTGGATTCAGGGTCACTAAGCAGACTTTTCACTGCTGTTCCTTCATCTTCCCTCCTCTTCTCCAAAACCTGGAAGAGGATGAGTTAGGCCTGTTTTCTTCCAGAACACTGCAATGCGGCAGGAGGGATGTTTCCCCTGTTTTCCCAAAATTCCCATAAAGCCACTTCTGTTGTAAGCCTCAGTGGAAAACAAGGTGTGATGCATCTCTTGTGTATTTCCCAGGTGGAATTCAAGTCACCAGTGGCCAAAGTACCCTCCAGGTGTGAAGAGTTGCAGGTCCTCTGAGGAGCCAGGAGCTGCAAGGTGAGTGAGCAAACAAAAGGCGACAGGCTGCAGAGTACTAGATCTGCCCCCACCCCGGACCCGAACTCCAGGCCCTGCCTTGTTAGCACTATTTTAGCTGTTTTTTAACATTCATGAGGATCAGCAGCGGGCCCTTAGATTTGAGAAACAGAGTTCGTCAGCCTTCTTGAGGACAGTTTTAAAAATACCAGATAACAGAGGGGCTATTCCACCTTGTTGGGGTATCGCTTAAGTTCATTTAAGGGAGGCCTCTGGGAGAGAGGGTTCGCCACTTTGCCCAGCTCTTTTACATGTGGGCACAAGGGTCTGGAACCTTTACTAGCCTCTCTCTGCAAAGAGCTGCTCCTCAGCCACTGGTCCCTCACAGAGCCAGTTCCACTGTGGAGCCTGTCCAATCCTCATTTCCCTCTTGTCCAGCCTCCCTTGGCAATGAGGAGGGTGTGTTTGCATTGGTGTATAGCATCACTGTTCACTTTCACATCTACTGTCTCATTTGAGCCACTTCCCGTGGGATAGTGATATAGTAATAGTTTGGGTATTTATCACTGCCCACATCTCATGTTGAATTGTAATCCCTGGTTTTGGAGGTGGGCCTGGTGGGAGGTGATTGGATGATGGGGGTGAATCCTCACGAATGGCTTAACACCATCGCTCATGGCTTGGTGCTGTATTTACCATAGTGAGTGAGTTCTCATGATATCTGGTCATTTAAAAGTGTGTGGCACCTCACCCCCAACTCTCTCTCTCTCTCTCTGTTGCTCCTGCTTTGCCATGTGACGTGCAAGCTCCTGCTTCACCTTCTGCCGTGGGTAAGAGCTCCCTGGGGCCTCCCCAGTAGCCAAGCAGATATTGGCACCATGCTTGCTTAGCCTGCAGAACCATATACCAATTAAACTTGTTTTCTTCTTAAATTATCCAGTCTCAGGTATTTCTTTATAGCAATGCAAGAATGACCTAATACAGATACGCAGGGAGGAAACTGTTACCCCACTTTAAAAA